ATGCCATCTGTGAAACCTTTTCCATATTCATCTTGTGCAACAATTGAGAGAAGTGCATGGAGATGTCGTGTATCAGCTATCGATAGTTCTGATGATCTTCGTAATCTGAGATGTCTAAAGAGATAATAGGAATACATTCCTGCAACTGGAAGAAATAACACAGTTCCATGTGGCATCATATCTCCAAGAGCCAAAATTAGATCAAGGTTGGTGGGTGGTAATTGGAAGATTACAAGATTAGATAAATGATTCGATAACCTTCAAATCTATTTTAATTTTGAGAGGAACAGGGGGATTACTTGATGTCTCTGATGGTGTTGAAGGAGTTTAACTAGCAAAGGTTTGAAAACGTTTTTCAAATACTCGAGGAGTATTGAATCCGTATTTCTTCTTTGTGATAACCGGGTTCTGATCATTACCCAAAGTATTTGTTATGTGAATTAAATGTTTATGTGGATACATGCTTATGTAAATTTAATATGTGAGTATGTGTATTTTATGCATAAGGATATATACATAATATGATAAATATATATATATGCATATATATATATTTATCATATTATGTATATATCCTTATGCATAAAATACACATACTCACATATTAAATTTACATAAGCATGTATCCACATAAACATTTAATTCACATAACAAATACTTTGGGTAATGATCAGAACCCGGTTATCACAAAGAAGAAATACGGATTCAATACTCCTCGAGTATTTGAAAAACGTTTTCAAACCTTTGCTAGTTAAACTCCTTCAACACCATCAGAGACATCAAGTAATCCCCCTGTTCCTCTCAAAATTAAAATAGATTTGAAGGTTATCGAATCATTTATCTAATCTTGTAATCTTCCAATTACCACCCACCAACCTTGATCTAATTTTGGCTCTTGGAGATATGATGCCACATGGAACTGTGTTATTTCTTCCAGTTGCAGGAATGTATTCCTATTATCTCTTTAGACATCTCAGATTACGAAGATCATCAGAACTATCGATAGCTGATACACGACATCTCCATGCACTTCTCTCAATTGTTGCACAAGATGAATATGGAAAAGGTTTCACAGATGGCATCAAATATGTTATTCATAATTGTGTTGATAAAATAGGAAGAGGCATTGGTGATGTGAAATTTGAAGACTTGATCTTTTTTGGGATAACCAAATCTATCTAACGTAAACTTTCACAAACCAATATTTGTTATAATTTAATGAAAGTTTACATTTTTAATATTTTAATTATTATGATAATCAGATCTTGGTTGTCACCTGAGATAATAAATATATGAATATTTGTTATATGTGACTACGTGACAGCATGATAAATTGTTATATTTGAGTAAGCTAGTATGCGAAATTCTATGCATAAATAAGTATGCATTAAATATGTGGATATAACTACACGCATAATAAGGTACATGTATAGGTATATTTATGTATGTGTGTATATACAAGAGTTGTATATATATGTGTGCATGGTGTGTGTGTGTGTGCATGCATATAGGGATGGAGAGAAAGGTTGTCGACTTTCCTGAATAGGAAAGTATAAAAGGAGGCTTAACTCCTTTACATTTTTCTGTCCAATTGAAAAAGTTGTGCGATTTATAAGAGAAGTGTTAACCGGATTGTTTCTTGGCAAGTTTTCAAAAGCTGATTTTCAAGTGTCTGATTTGCAAAAGGCATTCAAGGTGAGTGGTTTAACAGCTTTGAAACTCTTTATAATTGCATAAATTGATTGTATAAACTTTTCATTCGATTTGAAGTTTAAACTATTTGAATGTTGTCCGGATTAAACCTAAACCGGATGAGGGTTGAGCGGTTTAGTCCTAAACTGGATGAGGGTTGAGCGGTTTAGTCTTAAACCAGATGAGGGTTGAGCGGTTTACTACTTCATCGATCAAAGCTTGACCAGATCTAGACTAAATCTCTTAAAGGCATGAGCGATGTGGCCTTAAACCGGATGAGAGTTAAGCGATTTAAACATTAAACCGGACATGTTTTAACCGGTTTACAGATTGAGCGATTTATGAATTATGATCGTGTGTTAAAAATTTTGAACGGAGAAGTAGGAATACGACTATGAGATGACCGGTTTATTTTAAATCGGACAAATATGCATAGTGTTATCCGGATTGGTAATCTGGACAAAAGTAATGGAATTTTATTCTAAGTATTAATCGGACAAAGCCTTGTGAAGTCTTGTCCGGATTTGCTATCCGGACAAGATTTGACCGGATCATGATTAGGCATGTTATTTTGATTCTTTTAACAAAGAAGTTGGGAATTTTGATAAAGAATGATTTTGGAAATGATAATATTCCATTGACTGCAGTCTATTCTATATGGAATTGTTTTATGAAATATTTTAATAAGGAAATAAGGGTAGCATATCAAGGAGAGGTGTACCATGGGATAAGGGTGGCATATCAAGGAGAAGTGTACATTTGGATATAAGGGTGGCATTTGTATGTGTGTTATATGATATAACTCTTACTATTATATCTCTTAAGATTACTGTGGTTTGGAATCTTTATTTCTTTGTGATTTAAAGATTTATGACCAGGGTTCTTATTGGAAATTATAGTCTAAATGTTATTGAGGAGGAAATAACAGGTTTGGCCTGAAACTTTAAATAAACCTTGTTTAATTGAAAAGGTTTAAAAGTGGTATCATATGGAACCTGGTTGGTTCAAACCTATAAAGGTTTAGGGGTATGTTATCTGAATAGCTGAATGCTTGGTTTGAAAAGTGAAAAGGTACTGGTATTATGTCCTTATTTGTTCATATATTTGTTATATATATGTGAAACATTATTTTGTACTAGGTTTTGGTGATTTTCACCATGCAATAACATAAATAGGGTAACTCATTAGACCTTTCGGTCTAACCCTCGTTTTGTGATTTTAAATATGTATTGCAGGAAAAGCTGAAGGTAAGGGAAAAGGAAAAATGTGATAATTCCCCTATATGTTTACCTACATGAGGATTGGATGACGTTATGTATAGTTTTGATTAATGATCATTGTCTAGTACAAGAATTGTATTTTGAATTTTTGGATCATGTATTTTGTACTAGTAGATTCTTGTATTAAGGGACCAATGTGGTGTACAAACATGTATTTCTTATGTATGAAGTATGTGTTATATGCAATGTGTGATTTGGGGTGTTACAATTATACCTTGTTAATTTCTGACAATTATGTATCGTTTTCTAATCTAGTCAAAAGAAAAGAAAAGAAAGAGACAAGAAAAAGGATGGAAGAAAAGAAACAAAAGAAAACGCCTTAGAAAAAGAAAAGAACAAACATAAAATGCAAAAAGAATTCAAAAATGGATCACACAATCTATGAGTCCTAATTTTTGGGTTTTAGTACCATTTTTTTCTAAGTTTTTATCTCACAAATGTTTATTTGTATTATTAACAAACAGGCGGAGATTTTTGTCTGAACCATCGAATTTATAAAAAATACTCACAGCATCACATCAAACACTTTAGAAAAGAAAATTATTGTTTACCTTGTTCTATAAGGAAAATATTCGATGAACTTCATCCATTGTATGTATTTCCAATTTGGTAACTTCCGAATCTCTAAGTCTTAGGTCTTAGTATACCTTATTGATCCCTTCCGTTAAGATTGTGAAAACCAACTCTTTTATCTTTAAGATTTCTTCATCCGATCAAAGAAATGTGATGGACTTCCACTTTCATCACTTAAAGCTTATAGATTCATGTTTCACAATTTATACCAAGTGTTTTAATATCCGATGAAGCACCTTCATAATATATCGATAGTTGAAAATCTAATTTATAGCTTCTATTTTGGAATATAGTTAGGATTTTTACTTGTAAAAACCTTGTAACTATCTGTATTGATCCAATAGCCAAATGTCTTCAACAAAACCGAAGACTAGTTGAAGTGAGGTTAAGATCGTCACCAAAGCGAATTGATTTGTCATCTAATGAAAAAAAGATCAATACAAGATAAAAGTCAACTAGCAATATGACAAATACTACTATTCGAAGGCCAGTTTTTGGAGTAGAAACTTGTCTAACAAGTTTGGCTCACCAACTTTTCAACACCCATCTTGGTGTAAGAACCACATGCACAACATTTTATTAGTATCATATTTTTTTACTGTTCCCTCAGCAAAGCACATAAATGTGCATCATGTATATCTTGTTAGATTACATGAAGCGAAGGTCATCTATTTGAAGAAAATCCTGACAAGCGACAATGCCATTGATATGTTCACCAAGTCGTTATGGCCAACTCAAACTTGATTCAACTTCGTTTGTGTTAGTGACGTTGGGCACTTCATTGGAGAGAGAGGAGACAGAGAGAGAGAGAGAGAGAGAGAAGATATTACCACATGTAATAAAAACGACATCTTTGAAGGAATTACTTTGATAAGTGCTTAAAGCTTTGCTCTATCTTGCTTAGTTGATTGTACATTTGAGGTTATGTCGTTTTGCTTATAATTTTGACGGGTGATGGCCATGCCGAAGCTCATCACAGTCGGAATGCAATTTTATTACCACATGCCAATCACTTTCTAGCTTCCACTCACTTTCTAGCTTCCAAAACACAGAAGACTTCTTCTCTCAAAGTGCTTCTTTACCATTTTTGGTATGTATGTAGAAGTTGGTTTTGTTGGTGTTCTTGATTTTTGAAGCTTTGGTTGATCTT